ACTAGTGAGAGTGACGATGTTGGTACGGTAACAAAATCAACGTGGAAGGACGGTCTAAACGATAAGGAAGGAAATTTCGATCTCAACGATATATCTCGTTGTGGCTTACCATCTGTTTCTGATGAAACTGGCTTGCAGGCCGCTTTGGGTGCCTTGACCACTCGTGATTTTGCTGAAGAGCTTGGTGCTTCGCAGCGGATGTGTACTTCGAGTAGATCTGGAGTTATGAAGAGCTATAGCAGACAGTAGTGGGCAATAGCGGATCTGTGCTTTGATAAATAATCAATGATATTATTGTTGTTAATTTACGCATAGAATGAACTTTTAAAACTTTCCAGAACTCATAAATTCTGGTGTTTTTACTGCGTTTTCGCAGTGGTACGAAGTTTTCAGTACACCTTAGAGAATTGAGTGGTGGCCAAAAACGTGACTTCGGCTTTAATACTTTCGGCCTTAATAGCCTCGTCACTCGGGCAGGTCTTTAGGTCGGGAATTCTCAATTAATTTCAAGTATAAACCAGTTATGAAAATTTATATTCTAGGAAAGCGCATAATTTGTCTGAATTGCGCCGTCGGCCTTTTCTGAATCAGTGAAAGGGAGGAAAGGATGAGTAATCGTGTGGATGCGTTACCTAAAGTGATTTCATAATTGCAAGGAAAAAAACCTCTTTATATGTAAGCAACTTTTCAGAAGCATTTCACTATTAAGGGTCGCATCCACTCCAAAACTCATTCTTTCATCCACTTTGCTGATTCAGAAAATGCCGACGTTTACTTCAGAGCAAGTAGGTGCTTTCGTACTTTGCTGGTGGCAATCTTACACAAAATACAGATTTTTACAAGTAACTTATAGTTGACATTCGTCGAGAAATCTTCAAGAAAGTACACACAATTACGATCTTCGTCATCGCTGGCGATTGTTACAGCTGTGGTAAATACCAAATGCCTATGTTCTTCGATTTGCTGAATTTTGAACAAACAAATTTGAGAAATCATAGCTGCAAGCGCGTATTCTAGCTGATGCTCGCGATGATGTATATGTGAGAAATGGTATTTTAGAGAAGATAACATCTAACGGAGGCGCAGTGGCTAAGTGGTTGTGATGCTCACCGCAGCGTGCGTGGAACCGTGCTCCACCTTCCAACACTCTCCGGCAGTCAACAAGAGCGTTCTGTGGAATGCCATAACCAGGCTATCCTTGAGTTAGCTAAAACACTCGCTTAATCAGTATTTGTGATATTCAGAGAGAAGACGAAAAACGAATTGAATGTTATAAGTACTGGGATCCGCACAAGAAGAAAAAATGTAATGACGGGTCGTGTAAGCAAATGAATTAATAAAATCAACTAACAAGCGAGCGGATCAGGTGTTCAGCAAGAAAACGAAAGCTATAAAAGCAAACTGGAAATGTGGATAGCTTATTTATAGCTCAGTACTCAGCCGAGAAGGCGAGTCAATATAAACGTGCTACTTCCAAACGAACACTAATATCATGGACTGACTACTTCCTCGTAAAGTCATCAAGGTATGTGGCGTTTTATGAGAGGTGAAAACTTGTTCAGAGATGTAGCGCAGTAAATTTGGATCAATGGCTGATTTGAACCCGTGCTACTGGCCTACTATGCTTTTCGTCCTTCCTAAGCCGACAAAAGCGTATCTGATTGGTCTGAGTAAAGCGGGACATCGACTGGCTCTGGAAGACACTGTACTGGTCAACTAATTACTATTCTGAGGGCACATTTGATTATTTTTTAGATTATGTTGCGTACAAATGGTGATTTCATTGCACGATAAAGTGAACATGTGGCAGGCAAACCACGTGTATTTGCATTATCCGTTATGGTCAAATAGAAATTCGAAAATCACAGGAGTATATTACTGTTCAACTGCAGCACAATTTACATCGTTATCGTGAAGTCATCAACGTCAACAATACCACACCAATAAATGTTGTGAGAAAAAAGTGAATATAACTAAGTCAACCAGCGTAATTAGGCATCCTTTATTTGACGATGCATTTCTTTCTGTTTAGATGAAGTTTAAGAGAAATTGAGGTAAGTACCAAAAGGATGAGTCCGTCAGCAACATATACTCGAGGAACTGGAAACTACACAAAAGAGTTGGGATGATAATAACATGAAGCAAGCAAGTACTTAAAAACATCCCGCTTTAGTTTAGAAGCAGCGTTCATTCAAACAACCATAACCTGGCTTATAAGTAGTTTGCACTTAGATTACGACGGTTTTGGTTATAAGTCTAGTGACCTCTCAGTGCAAAAAAAAATACTTGATCTAAAGCATATGCGTGGTGTGGAAGCATCCTGGGTGTGCGAACGCAACTATAATCAGGAAATTATCTCATCTTGCATTCACCTTCTCACGCAATTCTTTGCTGTTGTAGACATTATAACTCAGTTGGTAGATCTCATACCGTAGCCGTTCAAAAGGTGAAATGAAATTCAACGTAGACAGGTGCCTGAGTACTAGGCCTCAAACGAGCATTCAAAATGATTTCGCCTCTTTGATCCTTTTATTAGTTTGAAGACTGAACCTTCCATTTGGGGTGTAGCTTCCAAATCGTCGGTACCTACGGAGAGTTCAGAACAATAATGTAATCGGCAATATTTACAGATCGTTTTCGTGATCCCATCTTCGTTCATTAACGCTGACAGCGGAACACTATAATCACACAGACCCCGGCGGCACTTCTTCAAACTATGTCTTTCTTGTGCTGCTTCCAATAGTTTCTTTTGTCGTTACCGACGTAAATCCACCTGGAAAGCTCTTCTGCAGCTGGTATTTGATATCAACCGAGCTAAATTTGTTGCATTAGGATCAAGCTTCAGCTTCCTTCGCTTTTCGAACAATTGGAGGAGATGCGATTGGCTTTTCTGGATTCAGTAACTAAAGCCAAGCCAGTGCACCTTTTCAGTCCTTCGACAAGCAGCTCGTAGTTTTCGGTCGGATCATCTTTAATCTACCAGTCATGGTTGGATAGTATTTTGTCTAAAATGTTCTTGTTGTGAATGGTTCACGACTTCTTTCTAATCGATGACATGAAATCTTTCCAGCTTACGGCTAAATCGTATCTTTTCTCGAAGGGAAACAGGGATTGGAACCAGTACAGAACAGTGGCACTACTTTGTGTCGAGCAGGCACCATCTTCTGTTTGTGAGTACATGGTCGATTTCAGTATGCGTCTAGGCGTTATGTGACTCCCATGTCCGGCGATGTTGTTCTTTCTTCTCGAAAAGTGAATTCCCATGCAAAAGGCGTGCCGCAGACAGGAGTCCAGTGAGACGATTTACATTTTCGTTTCGTTCTACTAATGCATATTTTTCAATCCTGTATTCGTTCTCACTAGCCATTCCTAATGTGGTCTTGAAGTCTCCGTCAACGAATTTGTAGTACGCCTTACCATTACGGTTCACTTCTTCCAGCTGATGGTAAAAAGCGTCCATTTCGTGTCCATCAGCTACGCCAGTTGGTGAATAACAGTTCATGACAATAATTTTAATAGGTTGAGGAGAAAGTTTCCGGAATTTGCTTATAAAATCTTTATTCATGCATTAATTAAGTTCGAACAAGAGGCAATTTAATAGTCAAAGTAGTTTCCTTCTGAGTCGATAACGTTCAGCCACAGATCTGGTAACATGAAGATCCTGCGGAGGTAGAAAACACTGTCCTTGGAGTTGAAGAAATTTCGAAGAGTTTCCTCAACCTCGCTCGTGTTATTGAACTTCTGGTCTCGCAGAAAGTGTTTCATTGACCGGAAGAGGTGGTAATCACTCGGTGCCAGGTCTGGCGAGTATGGTGAATGATCGTAGACAGCTGTCTTTCCAACAGTTCCTTCGCCCAATGCCTCATTAATTCGACGAACAGTGTCAGCGGCATTTGTGCCCACTTTGTACTCGTGAAGCATCAACAGTCGTTTCTGTTCGCCGTTCAGTTCCATCTTCCGGCAGTATAGAAGAGTTTTATATCAATCGATGCGCAAGAAAACGAGCTTTCAAACCATGTGAAAATCGCATATAAAACATGCGAACATGCTGAAGTTATGGGCAAATTCCGGGAACTTTCCCTTCAACCTATTAGCACTAAGCTTTAGTTGGAGTCGAGGAATAGCTGGGAGAGGGAAACAGATTTCGAATGAGTCGGCGAGATTGGTGATAGAAGGTTGATCGAGAGAGCTTACGTCTCCAACATTTCGTAATGGCACCTTTCCTCCGCGAATTACGAGTGAGCCGATGTTCAGCTAACGTATGTCGGTCTTCCTGGTTTTCGTTTCTTGTACGGCAATTACGTGAAATTTTATGCAATTTGCTGCTTCAAGAAATGCGTAAGGATCGGCGTCAGTGGAGAGTGTTCTTGCATTAGACGTGCAAAATAAAAAACAGTCTCCGTGGCCTGTCGATGTGTATTCAACAGATCTAGTTCCAATGGCGTCAAGAGTATCCTTCGTATCTCGTGGTTTTGTGGTCTTTCACTGGTTGTCTCGCTGCTTGATGCCAGAGACGGGAGCACCGAGTTTGCAGGATACTGAGGCTGATCGTAATGCCGGTTGTGCATATGGGCATTCCTTGTATTCCCGACGCAACTTTGCAAAGGAGTTTCCAGGTCTTCACGTCATGATGATGTCGTTTCTAAGATATTTGTTCAGCATCTAGTCCTAGCAGTCGGATTTCTTTCCATTGATTCGTAATGACATTGAGACCTAATCAATAAACAAACTAGGAATTAATGATAAAGTTGACCTACCGTGGATGTTCTAGGGCCAAAAGGACACTTCACGCTTTGACGATGTCGTTTTCAAGGAGTATCTTTCTAGCAGTGGATCCGTTGGTCAAAGTTTCTACTAGTTGATTCGGAGAATATCAATATTAAAGAATATAAGAGATATTTGAACCGAAATCAATAATCAGTAGAAAGGAGAGAGTAGTTAACCGACCGCTCAGAGGTGCAGGGCAGAGAATTTTGATGCTGTTGTTTCGAATAAATTTTTCATTGTTGGTTCACTAGTGGAATGCTAGCCTGCAACGCGGGAGACCCGGGTTCGATTCCCAGCCAATGCACCATGCGTAGCAGGGCAATTATGTGTGTTCTGCACACTTATAAGACGGAGGATTTCTGCTAAGTTCCTCTTATCGTCTGGCCTTTCGGTGAGGATGGACTTTGTGTGTGGCTGACTGATTGTGCTGTGTTGCCACTATCAGTGCGCAGTGGGCTGGACACGATAGATGATTGGTTTATTGTAATGAGTATAGAACAGTGATGTGAACGTTGGAATCGATATAAACAACAAGATGAACGATGGATTACCCGTGTAGAGAAAACGTTGTAGTTGATGTAGACAACAATGATGTAGTGGTACTAGACAACAACCTGAAATATGTATACATCATCACAGTGGTAACATACCAATAATATATACATCATGACGACATAGAACTATGTAACGATAACAAGAGAGTGATGAGTGAGAATCGATATCTTGAGCTATGAGCTACAGGGCTTGACGAGGCGGCGGACCTCGGGATGCAGTTATACTTGCCCCAAACAAAGCTTAAACACCGAAGGTGTGAGCCAGTGGGTGATTATATACGTCAGAATGATTCTGGGCAATTATATACACATGAACTGGAAACCATCTCCGGTGGAAGGTCAAACTCTGCGATGCAGCGGAGACGTGGGCTAATATCGACCACGTCAAGACTACTACAATCCAACTTACAGAGCGCTTGAACGATCTCTTCTAAAATTCAGTCGGCGCTCACAGCACCTAGCAGGCTTGCGCGGCTCAGACTTCAGAATTTTATCTCATTTTCGTGATCCAGAAAAATTCACATTGAGAGCGAAGCACAGATGGGCCGATCATATAGTAAGAAGATCAGAGGACAGTACGAGAATTAACCAGTCTCCGAAGACGACCACCTACGCGTTGAGCGGATGTGTTCGTGAACAGAATTAGTCAGCTGTATTCATACCTGTGTTCGCATCAGCTGTATTCGTACCTGCTGATATTCTTCCGATCACGGTATGAAACTCGCACCAGTGGCCATGCTCAAATGAAACCACCGTCGTGGACGACAGTCGCGACAAGACGAGACGAATGTAAGATGTGCTGGGGTCCGCGCAGTTCGTGAAGACGGATAGTCCAAGTATCCAGGCAACTAATATTTACAGATCAAGCAAGCTGTTACACGCCACACGCTCCATTGTTAGATGTCATTATTATACGCAACACCCAGGAGGCTAGACACGCAGAGGGTTGGATCCAAGGTTCCGTAAGGGTTGATATGTACTGCACACTCTCATATCAATAATTGGTAATGAGAAATTGTAACATTGCCGTATCTGGACAAAAAAAAACATTGCAACTGAGGAATTCACGGTGCATGGAAATGGTGGGTGCATGTTGAAACAACGGGATGGAAGTTACAGACTGAGTTTTCGACCTATAAAGGACTGCCTTCTTTCGATGAATCATAGCTCATTGTTTGTTTACAAAAGCTTCCTAACCGTGAAGTTTTTGATTACTAGAGAAATGAGACGTGACGATGACTTTCATTGATGAACTATTTCTTGTCCAACTATTATTATAACATGCACATATTCCAGTTTCATTACTGATATTCATGTGAAGTGACTTATCTCTCGACCGGCTTCGGCGAAAGCTTTGTGCTCAATTTTGTACGTATCAAACACAATATCACCTGCTATCACCAGAACGTCCTCCATTCTCAGCTATAAAGTAGGGTTCACTTTGGGACATGTGGCTCTGATGAAGTGGGCGATATCGCCGAACCGTACGTAATCCACTGACGTGTTAACCTCGGAAAGGCTCTAAACATTCCCACAAAATTTATCTAAAGATTTATGATTGAAGATCACGAGCAGCTTCTGGTGGACAAGCCGTGTATGGTCGTAGTAAAGGAGATTGACATATAAATTGGAAGTATACGTTAGCCTATAGCATGCTAACACTCACGTGGTAAGTATACAATGACGAATTTCAAAAGTTACCCACTTTATTGCTTGTATAATTCGCCTCCAAGCAGGCTTACCTTTGTTTTGATAACGCTTTTGCGTAGCAGTTCTCTAAGTCTTTGAAAGGGCGTCATCTTGCTTTCTCACAAAATTTTCCAGCCCTTAACAGTTGAGAAGGCTTTTGCTTCGTTTTTGTCAGAGCAATCGTATTCGCGTTTGTAACCTTGGCGAAAAACAAACTTCTGCTGTTCTTCACCATCAATAGCGTATAAGCTTTGTTCTTTAAAACTTTGATTTCTGGAACTGTGATGATTTTTATCGAGTGAATATCGTACTACGAATTCTCACTTTTTACACTTCGATCCTTTTCATTATTAAAGACTTCTTCACTTGCAAGGCGTCTTCTCTATCACTATGTGTTATCAAATGTTCCACTCGTTGATGTCACAAAGATGGAGTTTTTATTCGAGGGCGGCAAAAAAAAATTCGATATTGTGTTATTTCTCTCTTTAGTTTAGTGTTCTGATGATTACTCTGCTCTTTGTTTCCGAAGTTGAAGTTGAAGGTTCGCTGTGCTGATTCATTGATCCCCGTTGCTCTTTCTAGGACACAACTCTGAAAAAGGTAATGAAACCGTTGCCAGCGGAAGTGGTTCATTTTAAAGTTCTAGAAATCCAAAGACTAAAAACACTGAGACCTTTTACTAATATGATAACGCTGCGATAAACCACTTACCGATTGAATCTGAACACAAGGGCAGGATTTATTGTGCTTTTGTTATCAAAATTAACACCCTTTTAGGGCAGATATTCACCGGAGAGAAGCTTCGGCAAATTATAAGCAAGAGGACATTAATGCCAAAGCCGGGATTTCTGATAATAATCAATTGATCCCTTTCGCGTTTGATCGTCGAAGATGCGCTTTGCATCAAACAATTATCCTATGAGGTGAGCGCATTCAATTTGAGGAATTTGAAGATTCTGTCGAAGAAATCGAATAAAAATAGCAAGCGCATATGATTGAAATAATTGAAGGTTCCATTGAGAAAACCAAATAAAAATAAGAAGCAAGCGCCGGCACTAACTTTTATTTCGAACGAGGTAATGGAAAAGTAACAAGTTTTTCGACGGTCCACATATGACGGCAACTGTTCTTGGTGAAGGAGAGCGCCTTGTTTGGTTATGTGAAGCTTCTATGGAGCGAAATGCGCTCTAATCCAGGAAAAGAAAACTCCAGAAAAGCTGTAGAATTTTCTACTAGTCATTAACCTAAACTTCAAAGCGGTAATGTCTCCCTCAACCCTTTTCCGAAGCATCATGCTTTTATCTTCCTCACGCAGCAAAATTAATTCACATTTCTATTTTTTATTAAAGTTTTCATGCATTTCAGTGCACCGGCAAAAATATTAGAAAGTTGTAAATGATCTGCCAATATTCTCAATATTCTGAAAATTTTTGGAAGAGTGGATGCACACAGATCTACGATTTCTAGTTCTACCTACTGTCCACTTGAGAGAGTCCGAAGTCAGCCGAGTAATGAACGACATTGTATTCTGTCAAAAATTTAATTATGTTCATTCTTGACTAATGTCGCTTACAGTGTTTCTCACCGTGCAACCTTCAAATAAACGTCTATAACAAAAGATATGACGCTTCCCTTAATTTCAGAATAGGAGGAAGAATGTGCATTCACACCGCCACTTATCTTCAATATCTCTATGATAGCTGTCAACCACCAGCCTTTACCAGGTTTCTCGGGGGTGTAGTGGTAGCATGCGTTCCCGGTATAGATTATACGCTGGTTCGACTCCCGTCCGAGGTCGTTTTTCACTGACCGCTCAATTCTCTTGGGTGTATATGAAGCAAAAATGATAAACAAATGACAGATGTTGACATGCAGTTTGGCAATACACACAGCACAATAATAGACCAGCATAAATGTTGTTCCACAGAGAGGGGTCTTTCACAAGTGTATTTCAATCCGGCTTTTCTCTTTCATCTCTTCTCTAGTCGTATCATTCTCAAGAATTCAGGGAAAACTAGGGGAACGACGGCCGTGAGCAAGCAAGGTTCCAAAGAAAACTTTTGACACAAATGCCGCATCCATGTAATAGCATGATACTAGTTGCCTCGCTTTTACTTCATCAGATAATGTCTACGACTCACTTCAGACTGAAGTGATTCGATGAACTTCTCTACATTGTTGATCCCATCGCACTCTCATATGTAACATTTTCATATCTCAAATATCTTAAAATCTTCCGGCATTGAGAAGCCTTATATATCTGATGATCTCTAGCATTGAGAAGCCTTGAAACCAGCATCCAGCAGCAGATTTGCTTGTTTTGCCTTCCCTTCAACTTCTTTGATTTCACGTCGACTGCAGATCGCTGTGAAAGACACTTTTGCCTAATAATGGCGTTGTAAAACACGAAGTTTGATTGTATCATTAGACATGTCGGAGGCTTGTAACAGGGTGAAAACGAAAGACGAATAATATCTAGGCCTCCAGTGGAAAAATCTCACATAAAAAATTAATATCCCCATGATACGCATAGGAGTTATCTCATGCTTATTAAAGTTTCCATAACTTTCTTTCTAACCTAGCATATGCCGAACACCATATGGGTCTGCTAATTACAGCAGTGAAGTTTTTTCTCAAAACATTTAAATACTTTCCTCTTCTGTCTTTTTTTTTTGTTGGTGGAACCGTTACTATGGAGCACCTTGCTTTGTCGCAGGTCCACTGTTGGTTGGAAAATACAAATAGTCGATATACAATGGCGGAGCTGGGGCAGAACAGAAAGAGCGTTACAAATTTCATTACTACAATTCGTGTAGAAGCCACGTAATCGTACTGGTGCCACATTGAATTATCAACGTGTATTGCATCCATATTAATAAAACTTTGATATGGATCAAATGAATGATAGTGTGATTGTCTCAATTCAATGAAGTTGTAGGCAGAGAATGTTAGTGACGTGAAATGGTTGGCAAATTCACCTGGCTCAGCTAAAAACATAGAACGAGTTCGAGACACATTTATCTCAATATATGCAAGCCAAAGTACTCCGAAAACGTAAAAT